ACCAGTATAATTTTTTTTCTAATTAATAGGAATCATGTGTTGGATTTTAAATGTAGGAAAAAATGGGGCACCTGGGTGGCTCAGTCGTTTTAAGTGTCCGAATTCAGCTCAGGTCATGATCTTGCAATCCATGAGTTCGAGCCCCGTATTGGGCTCTGTGCTGACAGCTCTGAGCCTAGGGCCTGCTTCGGATTCTGTATTTCCCTCTCTTTCTGCCCGTCCCCAACTCAGCTCTGTCTCTATCTCTCAAAAATGAATAAATATTGAAATAAATAAATACAATCTTCTTAAAATGTAGGAAAAATTAATTCAATATCATTTTTAGCTGTCCGATTGATTATAGAAAGACCCTTTTCTCCATGAAAGTGTGAGTCTATTTTTAAGGGTAGCTACGACCAAGTAATACGGAGTTGCAAGTACAGACACAAATGTTTCTCCTAGATCCACCCGGGACGGTTCCCGGGGCCGGTCAGCACTCTGTGCAGAGTATTGTAGTGATGGCTGATGCTGAGGATCCTGCCCTCCAGAGACATAGACTCTGAAGGAAAAGAGTAACTCATGGGACAGACACTTCATGAGATAAAAGAAAATGTGCAAATAAATCTCAACAGTTCCAACCAGAAGAAGAAAATAATTCCAGATGAGCAATCCATGCGCTTCTACAGTGCGTGCTATGTTAGGGAGCTTTTTATTAAAAAGATAGCTTAACTGATAGTCTTCCAGCCTCAGAAACAAGAAGGCCAGAATCCACAGTTCCTCTTTCTTCAGTGCAGAAATGGTTTTCCAAGACCAAACCAGGCAACGGGGACTTCAGCTGTTGAGCAAACGTGCTTTCATTTGCCACTGGGGAAATCTGTTTCGCACATTACGCAACCTCCCCAGTGTGCTGCTGTATTTTCTAGTCTGACAGTTCTTATCACCAACACTGACTGGCTTACGTGGGGAAGAATGCCTCTTGAAATTATCTTGTGGGATTAAAAGTGCTCTCAAAACCAACAGATGAGTAAATGCTACAAGTCCCCCACTTTGGTACTGGGTGCTGCAAGGTGTAAGAAAAAAGCCACCATGTGACAGTGACCCTCAAGGAGCTTCCGGTCTGGCTGGAAGACAGAATTACTGTCTGTGAAATAATAAAGCGGTAAATAAGAATCAGCCCTGGATATTTGAGATGCTACACTGTTTTGCTTCTGTAGTTGTGTTGAGGTATACAGTTCAGTGAGTTTTGGCTGGTGCGTACACCCATGTAAATCACAGCCCTGTCCCAATATAAAACATTCCCATCACCCTGAAAAGCCCTCTCATGCCCCTTCTGAGCCAAGCCCTACCACCACCAAAGGCAACCACTCTTCTGAGTACTTTTACCATAAAATATTCTGCTGTTTCTTGACCTTCATTTAAAAAAAAAAAAAAGATTTTTACTTTGTTTTGAAGTAAATTTGTAAGTTTTATTTATAACTGTTTTGCTAACTTATTTTTGGCTACTTTACAAGGGAAGCAGCTTTTTTATATACTTCCAATTTTAAGATAATCTGAGTAATCTCTTATACTGGCTGAATTACTTAAATCTAGATTAGTGAGGTTATAATCAGATTATCACAAATTTCGTGAGTAAAATCAATCTCCTGTGCCAAACATAGCTTCAACTATAAGTTTAAAAACACAGTGTTATAGGGGCGCCTGACTGGCTCAGTCGGTTGAGCGTCTGACTTCAGCTCAGGTCATGATGTCACGATTCGTGAGTTTGAGCCCCCATGTCAAGCTCTGTGCTGACAGCTCAGAGCCTGGAGCCTGCTTAGATTCTGTGTCTCCCTCTCTCTCTGCCCCTCCCCCACTTGCGCTCTGTCTCTCTCCCTCTCAAAAATAAATAAACATTAAAAAAATATTTAAAACAACAACAACAAAGAGGGGCACCTGGGTGGCTCAGTCGGTTGATTCTCTGACTTCAGCTTAGGTCACAATCCCCTGGTTCATGGGTTCGAGCCCTGTGTCGGGCTCTGGGCTGACAGCTCAGAGCCTGGAGCCTGCTTCAGATTCTGTGTCTCCTCTTTCTCTGCCCCTTCCCCTGCTTGTGCTCTGTCTCCCCAAAAAATGAATAAACGTTAAAAATTAAAAAAAAAAAAAAAAAAAAAAACAGTGTTCTAAGGGGCGCCTGGGTGACTCAGTCGCTTAATCATCCAACTCTTGATCTCAGTTCAAGTCATGATCTCATGGTCATGAGTTCAAGCCCCGAATCAGTCTCTGTGCTGACAGCATGGAGCCTGCTTGGGGTTCTCTCTCTGCCCCTTCCCTGCCCACACTTGCTCTCTCTCTCTCAAAATAAATAAATAAACTGTAAAAAAATAAACAAAAACACAGTGTTCTGCACAACTATTTTAACAAGTATATTTTTTTCATAACAAGCATCCATAGTCTAGAAATTACAAGTGTCTTTGAAATTATTAAAACTTTACAATTATTAAATGAAAACTTTTGCCTTTTTGTAGTAGAGAAGTGTAGATAGTAACTAAATTTCACAATAAGAAGATAGAGACTAAGGCTAGATTTAACTTTATTGTCTTGGAATTTATAAGCATCAGCAAACCTTCCTTTCTTTCAGAAAAAAGGGTTTGGGACAGGATCTGGTGTTTTACGTGAGCAAAAACGCTTTGGCCAATAGCTCGTTGTATTCTCAAGTATCCTGCTTTATTAGAAAAACCCTGTGCCTTTAGTTGCGATGTTAATTTTTGGTTTCACTCTTAACTCTACATGCATCCTATATATTCATTCTACAACTGTGTGATAGAAGTTCCAAGGAAAGAGTGATCATTTTTTACTTTAGGAATTTTAGAGGCTTTGTAACGGAATGAGAACTTGAGCAATATCTTAAAATATATATAGAAAAAAAAGGGGAGAGTGGAAAATCACAAACATTTAAGAGAGAGAATAACATGAAGAAACCTGTCAGGAGCAGAGCCCTTCCAGAAATAAAGTTTAAAAAGGAGAACGGGGGGGGGGGGGGGGGGGGTGTCTGTCTGGCTCAGTCGGTAGAGCGTGTGACTCTTTTGGTTTCAGGGTTGTGAGTTTGAGCCCCACGTGGGGTGTAGAGACTCCCCAGAAATAAGAAGAATACTAAAATCTTTAAGATAAAAAAAATAAATAAAAAGAAAAGTGGCAGATAGAAAAACTCTTAGGGCTCCTGGGTGGCTCAGTTGGTTGAGCGTCCAACATCAGCTCATGTCATGATCTCACAGTTCATGGGTCTGAGCCTTGCCTCTGTGATGACAGCTCAGAGCCTGGAGCCTGCTTCGGATTTTGCATCTCCTTCTCTTTCTCTCTCTGCCCTTCCCCCACTCACACTGTCTCTGTCTCCCTCTCTCTCTCTCAAAAATAAACATTAAAAAAAAATTTTTTTGAAACAAGGAAAAACTCTTGAAAGTCAGGTAAAGGAATCAGAATCTGAGTGTCAGGAGACCTTGGAGACTCTAGTCTTTGTATTCAAAGCAGGAATCCCCCTACCACATCCACATCAGGCATTCACTTTGATTCTGCTTGAATCCTTTCCTTGTGGGGCATTTACTGCCCTTCCACATGGCCCACTCTTGTTACGGACGGTAGTAATTATGAGGCATTTGTACCATTGCCTGTGGAAGGCACTGTCCATTTTTGAACATGTAGATTTAGTGACATACTCGTTATACTTAAGGACATTTCATCTAAAATACACCTATCCATTGCATTAGGAAAAGGGCAGAATGCATTGTTTCAAATAGGGGTTATGTTTTTTATAGCTTTATTGAGATATAATTCACATACCATACCGTTCACCATTTTAAAGTATACAATTCATTGGCTTTTACTGTGTTCACAGAGTTGTATTTCCATTACCACAGTTTTCATAACTCCTTAGCTGTCAGCCCTGCAAACTTTCCATCTCCCCCAGCTGAGGCAACCAATGATCTACTTTCTGTTTCTACAGATTTGCTTATTCTGGACATTACATATAAATGGGATCACACAATATGTGGTCTTCTGTTACTGGCTTCCTTTACTTAGCATAATCTTTTTAAGGTTCATCCATGTTACAGCGTGTATCAATACTTACTTCTTTTTACTGACACGTTATATTCCATTGTGCGGATATATCATATTTTATTATCCGTTCATCAGTTGATGGACATTTAAGTTGTTTCTTCTTTTTCACTGTCATGATTACTGCTGCTGTGCACATTCATGCACAAGTTTTTGTGTGGCTATGTTTTCAATTCCCTTGTGTATATACCTAGGAGTAGAATTTCTGGGTCATATGCTAACTCTATATTGAACTATTTGAGGAACTGCTGGACTGTTTTCCAAAGCAACTGCATCATTTTACATTCCCACCAGAAGTGATGAAGGTTCCAGTTCTCCACATCCTGGCCAATATTTGTTATTACCTGTCTTTTTTATTATTGTCATTCTAGTGGGTGTGAAGGTGGTATCTCATCGTGGTTCTGATTGACATTTCTCTGGCGGCTAATGATGTCACGCATCTTTTCCTGTGCTTCTTGGCCACTTGTCTGTCTTTGGAGAAATGTCTGTTCCAATCCTTTACCCGGTTTTTTGTCTTTTTATTATTGAGTTACATATTCTAAGTTCAATATACGTTCTGTTCCTTTAGAGATACAAGCCCCTTATCAGAAATGTGATTTGCAAAACATTTTCTCCTATCCTCTGGGTCGTCTTTTCATTTTTTTAATAGTGTCCGGGTCACATGTTTTTAGTCCCATAATTCTTCCGGGTTTTTCTTGTTTTCCCTGTTAAACTGTAAAATTGTGAAATTTAAATTGTAAAATTCTACAAACCCGGAAACCACTACTCCTTCTAGATCTCTGTTCATCCAGGAGAACGGGCCTTGCATGGTACATATCTGTTTAAGAATGTGTCTCCACCACCAGCCACTGCTGCCCCTAGAGGTTTTCCTGCAGATAATTTGATTTCATTCTGGGTGAGATATTATAGTTTATTGGTTTGTTTTCTTACAGGTGAATCGATTTAGTAAGGTGGAAGACCGAGCAATTTTTGTCACTGACCGTCACCTATATAAGATGGACCCCACTAAACAGTACAAGGTGATGAAGACAATTCCGCTCTATAATGTAAGTGTTTTCTGCTCCTTTCTGAATAAGGGATTCTTAACCTGGTATTCCTGGACCCCAAGTGGGTCAGTAATTGATCACTACAACCTTTGGGGCTTTAGGGAGCCCATGAATTCCTGAAATTGTATGCCAATCTTATGTTTTGTACAAATGCACAATTTTCCATAAGAAGGATCCAAGAGTGCCTGGCTGGAGCGTGTGACTTTTGATCTTGGGTTCATGAGTTCAAGCCCCACGTTGGGTGTGGAGCCTATTTAAAAAAAAAAAAAAGAAGAAGAAAAAGAAGGATCTGAAGTTACCAATAAATTAATGAAGCATTTTTAAAAAGCCAAATGTAAGCGTTCTGCATTCTGTGTGATCTTTCTGTATTCCTAATCTTACGTACTGCTTAAATGTTGTGACACATAATGTATTTTCTTATATATTTTGAAGAAGTTTGTTTTTATAGGGAAATAGAATCAGGTAGAAAAACAGTAGAGAATTACTTTATGAAACCATTACCTCTCTTTCAGAGGTAAAATGTGTGCTGTTCCCAAAAGTTCTTTTCACCAATATATTTTCCCTCTGATCTAAACTCACTCAGCTGTTCTCCATGGGGCTTTCAAGTTCTATAATCATTTCTCATTTGAAATATGAAATTTGGTGGATATCTCCCCGAATCTCAATATAAGATTTTTTTTTTTAATTTTTCTCCTGCTGTATGTGGTCTGCTTTACAAGTGACTGTTGGTTCTGATTCTTCAGAAAGATCCTCCTGACTACCAGATCCTTTTGAAAGTCAGGTGGTTTTTGTCTGTCTGCTAGTTCCTAAGGAGAGAGGTCTGTGTTTGTCCAATAATAGAATCCATGAAGAGTATTATTTAAAGATTATTTTAAATCCTTTTGGTATCTGCAAAAGGGAATAGGAAACATACTGTTTTGTTTTTGTAGTTTTATGTTGTTAAATCAAGAGTCCTGTTGGTTGTGAGGGACCACAGAAGGGAAACTATTCCTGGGTTTGCTAAATGATCTGGGACGTCACTGCAGGGTTGATTATGGGGTTGCAATTTGTGTCCATTACACTCCCTGCCCCCAACCCAATACACACATGCATCTTTCTCCCTTTCAATAAAAAGGCTAATGGATTGCAGCTAAGAAGAAAATAATATTCTAGGACATTCTTGATTTCATATTGTCTTCTTAGCAAGCGCTTGTAATCTCATGTATCAATCACAGTTTAAGCCTAATAACTGCAGTCTTAGAGTAGGAGACGAAGGAGGATATGGGAGAAAATCAGATTTTGTCAAAGTCAAATGAAGTGTGGAAACAAACAAAAAAATAAATTGTGACCTGTGTTTTATTTCTTTACTTTCTATTAAAGGGAGATCGATCAGAGCACTTGATACAAGTTCAATAAATAGCTACGCAACTCTTTGAACCGAAGTTATTTTGCCAAACTGCCGTCCTTTTTCATGGTGACTTGTGTGTCACTGTTCCCCTTCATCATCAGCATCGTTGTCAATGTTGTAAACAATATATAATATAAAAATTAACGGCGTTTAACAATTGCAGTAAAGGTAAAACAATGTCAGTAGAATGGGTGCACACTGTCACGGATGCTATCAGTCCTCTGCCTGTATCCCACTGCACCCCCTGATCGTTTCTGGGCACACCTTCCTGACTCCAACAGTCAATGTCCTTGTCAAAAGTCCCCCATCAGGCTGTCAGAACCCCCTTTGCCTGCAGCCCACGATGGTAGCTGGTTTAACAAGGCCCTGTTGGCTGCCTTTCTCTCCCTGAACCATCTCCCCACTCCCTTGCCAGCGTCCCTGCCCCTCCCAAATCACTTCCGTATGTTTACCAGCCTTTGTCTCGGGGTCTGCTTTGGGAAGAACTAACTTTGGAGTCGCGGCTGCGTCTTAGAGGGCGCCAGGTTGAAGGGGACAGAGGACTTCCAACTGAATCTATAAAAGTGTTCTTTCAGTCTGAAACAGTTATGGCAAACTATTAAGTGTTGATCGTGAAAACATGAGTCTTTGTGGCTTTTTTCTTTAAACTTTCTGTATGATCAGAATATTTTGAAATTAAACAGAGTTTAAGACAAGGAACCTTTAAACAATGATAAGAGTAGTGAAGAAACTGGGAAGGGAAGGAAGAAGATGATCTCAGTTTTAACCATGTTGTGTTTCAAGGCAGTGGTGAAACCTGGAAGGTATACATTCCACAGATAATTGGAAATCCAATATAGAGGAGGAAAGAATTCAGCACTCGAGATAAAAATTCAAGAGTGGATCCATGTATAATTGGAGGCTGAAATTATGAGTCTAGAGAGAGAAAGGGAGCAGGTGACTCAAGAACATTCACAGCTAAATGGTCAGCAAAGAATTGCTGAAGGAAATGGAGTAGAAGGAAATTTCTCAATGGGCTTCCATTTGCTCACCTCTCTTTTAATGCATTGAAAGAGCTCTAGTTTCCCTTCAGTACCATCGGTTATGAGTTATTCTAAGAACGATAAGAACTATAGGAACACTTTCAGAATCCAGTTGGAAAGTTCTCAGAAGTCAGAGTAATCGCTAAGAACAGATAGCTGAGGGGCCCACACCCTTCTCATTCTCATGCCTCTCATTTCTTTTTCATAGGCTCCTTTCCTGTCTCAGTTAAGCTTTTCTGTCCCCAAGAAACAGATTGGGACCATATACTGTCTTGAGTCATGTTTTTAATGAGGATACACATGATAGTCAGGGAGAAGAATCTGGCGAAAGCTAAGGAAATGCTACCATTCGGTGTTGAAAGAAGCTCTAAGGGGCTGTGTTATCCTGTAGCCCCCTGAGCAGCACGAGTGCTGGGAGAGTCTGCGTTCCTGCCATCCTCTCAGGCTCTACTTCTCTCTGTGTGTCTTCTTACTAACAGTCGCCGTCCTTGCCAGATGGCATGGGCCAGCACTAGGCTTAGATCTAAATCAGCCAACCCAACAAACCATCCGAGTGTCATCCTGCAGTAACATATTGCACACAGGCTCCAGATGAGGCCTCCCCATAGCAACCAATTCCGTATGATCCACATTGCTACAGTAGTTCCTTGTTAAGCACTTGTTAATCCATGCATCGTCTTCCCTGACTTTTCCTGGGATAGCATGGATAATTACTACAGTTCATTTGGGGCATAATTGATCCCTTCCCCCTACAATCTTTGACTGCTGACCTTAGGCCGATGTCATCTTTGGGCCCTGGTCACAGAGCATGCTGGGGTGGGTCAATAGGAGAGAAGTGCTTCAAACAGGCAGCTTCCTCAGGCACCCTTGGACTCCTCCCACCTACACCTGTTCCAATCTCCTGGATCCCAGTCTTCGTCAAACAAAAACTAAATCATGCTCATGGATGCCCATTGCGGTAAGAGTTTAGGTGATGCTGTAGTTTGGCTATGTGTCTAATCAGTTTCTAAATCTGGTCTTCATCAGTGCTTTTTAGCAGAATGTGTTTCCTTAACTGCTTCCAGCCCTCAATATGGGACCAATATTTGTTGCTTTCCTAATGCACCGTAAAAAGTACTCAACCAATTTACTATCTCCACATCTCCTAACCCATTGACCTTGTATAAAGCAGTAGCACCTAAATGCCCCAGGCACTTAACTCTAATGGGCACATGCAGCAGCTCCCAGGCGCTCCCCAGAGATCGGTTAAATGACTGCTTTATCCCTCCAAACCACAGCTTTACATGCTGGGTGGAGAGATCCTATTCCTTGTTGACAAGCTTGCAGCAACCAGGTGCACATCCCGTCTGCGAGGTGTTTCTTGTAGCATCCTGGTGCCTCATTTCTTTCTGCTCGATCTTGAGGCATAATGAACAGAGACTTAAGGAGACTCAAGAAATGGGGGGTTACACCTCAGTTAGAATGCCAGTGTAGGAATTATCTTCATTTGGGGTTTTAGAGAGCTGTAGACCAGATTGTCTTGTTACAGCCTCAATAACTAAACTCTTCATTCAACAAGTGATTGCCGAATACTCATTATGTGCCAGACATATAGGTATTGTGGCACAGAAGTGTCAAAATAGTCAAAATCTCTGCCCTTACAGAATTTACATTGCAGTGGGGAGGGGAGGCAGCAGACTCTACTTACATGTATATATTTGTGCATATATGTATATGTATGCATGCATATATATACATACATATACACATCATATAATCCATTAGAAGCGATAAAGGAAGAAATAGAATAGGGAAGGAAGATAGAGGATATGAGGGGTGTTATAACTTCAAATAGAGTGATCAGGCCTCACCGAGAAGTTGACATTTAAGCAGAGACTCATAGGAGCTAAAGAATGAGCCATATGCTTACTTGGAGGAAAAGTATTTAGGGTACAAGGAACAGCAAAGACACAGAGACGTGAGCAGGGAGGAAAGAGCGAGCCTACGGGGGGCTGGAAATGTTTTGCGCCTGGTAGCAGTTACTCTTCTGTATATGTTTGTTTAAATTCACCAGGCTGTTTCCTTGAGATTTGTACTTTCTGCTGAGTGTAAGCTATATACCTCAATAAAGGGGGAGGCAAAAGAGAAAAAGAAAGCTATCTATGAAAGAGGATAAGGGAGGGGGTGTGTCAAAGAGAAAAGTGAAGTAAATGAAGCAAATGATAATTCAAGCCCAGGGGGAGTTCTGACCCACTCAATAGCCAATGGTGTGTGGACCATTATCGCACAGCATGTGAAACACGTGACAGTCTTGTTTGCTTTCTCCTCTGTCTAAACAAGAGTACATCCCCACTCCCCTCCACCCAGAGACGCAGCCCTCAGCTGTTCCTCAGAGGAGAGGGGAAGACACTAACTAAACGAGGGTGGACGCCTGATATAAGGGAAGCCAGTTGTAGGCTGCCAGTGACCCAGTCCTGGGGCCAAGAGCTCCTCGCTGTACCTCTTACATTCCCTCCGTGTTCCTAACATTGATCAGATGTGCTTTTTTCTCGTTGTTTCCCAGATCAGTTTTGCTGGAGACCTATTTTATTGATTTCATTACCTTTTCAATG